GTCTTGAGCTAAAATGTTCCCGTGGACTGTTGGTGGGCTGGATTCAACCCATGGGTCTTGAGTTTGACACATGTACACTATGCTGTGCTGACTAGTTTCTGTTTTTAATAACACCCCCACTGAGATATCTGCACACATGCACCCCACGCCTCTCATTTTGAAGCAATGTAACATTTGTAGCTATGCAAAACTGCCTGTGACTGATTTTTTTCATTGTGTTAGTGGGTGTTTGCAATTTCCTCTTGCACATTTCTTTGGTTTTCGGATCACTATCAAGCCCAAGCAATAGATCTCACACTGCAGTAAAGAATGAAATGTCTGAGGATGACTGCCACTTAAGCAAGATTCTATATGGTAGGCACCACTACAAAGCAGGATTATTTATGACACAACTAGCAGGAGAAAGCATCAAAGAGTGGAAATTCCTAACTGAATGGGTAAATAGAAATGGAAGGAGGCTGGAGCTGAAAATAAAGGAAATGAGTTTCTATATCAAGGCTGTGGTAATTTTTGCAGAAACGATAAACTAGGTTGTCGCCTTTTTATCTGTATAGTCACTCTCACTACATGACTTTAATAAATAATCAAGACAGACTTTTCAGTAGGATTGGAGAGAAAAGAAGCTGCACTCTTTATATACTGTACAACTTGCAAATGTGTGGTTGATTTGCAAATTTAATAAATATAGAAAATATGATGTGAATTACTAGTTAAACTTCAGGTCCATCTCACTCACTGTTTTGTAGATTTATTGATGGGCAAAAACTCTACAAGTTTTCAGTTAAGAGTCTTTCTTCTGTTGTACCAGGAGTGGAAAGGAGCCGCTATGGCAAAATGGATCAAACCCTTGTGCTGGCTGGACTGCTGACCTGAAGGTTGCCGGTTTAAATCTGTGAGATGCGATGAGCTCCTGCCTGTCAGCTCTAGCTTATGGGGACATGAGAGAAGCCTCCCAGCAGGATGGTAACACATCCGGATGTCCCCTGGGCAACATCTCTATAGACTGCCAATTCTCTCACACCAGAAGCTACTTGCAGTATGTTCTCAAGTCACTTCTGATACAATTTAAAAAAAAATAACCAGGAGCAGCCACAAACCAGCTGTGTCTTATTATATACAAGCCATAAGCATGATCCCTTAGCTATAGCTGTTCTACCCCATGCTTACATCTTTTGCAAAACGGAGAGAGGATATCTTGCAAAACATCAGAAAATGCTTAATCAACAGGGACGAGTGATCTTTATCAGTACCTGGAGTTGTCTGTGAAACTGCACAGCTACTTGACAAGTTGTGCAATTGTGAGCATTTTCCTTTGAGGCAAGGGAGATTCTGACAGTACTATAAGCCTCATGCAATAATCTCCTAATAATGCATCTACATTATGCATTTAAACATCCAAAATTCCATGGTATAGAATTCTGGGAAGATTTGTTGCTCTACTGCAACAATTCACAAGAATGGACTAGAGCTTCCTAACATAGAATTCTAAGTATCTCACCAAACTACAAATCACAAAATACCATGAGAGGGTGTCCTGATGGTTGTAGTGGTTTCCAACTTTGATAATGGTGGTGTCACTGTGTAGTGTAACTATTTTCATAGTACAACAGCATGGGAAGCATGTGCCCAAAGTGTTGATATATTATGTCTGCACTGAGTTTGATTGGTCTCATCTGCCTGTGACCTCTTAGTGCCTGTCTCTACTTTCCAATCTAGTCTCTTCTATCTGTCTACATCATTTGGCTTATGTGAAATCTAGAAATTACTTTGGAAATAATGCTTATATTTTTTTCTCCCAGGTAGCAGACCTGGAAGTCACAGCTCTCTCTGTTTCACCAGACAGGTAATAAGATTTCTTTCTGCACAATCTCGGATGCATTCAAATAAAATCGCTCTGCTATTGCAAATGTTATTTTAATGTACCAAGACCTGGGGGGAACAGAGCATTTGTGTGGATTTGGACTTCAAATAAAATCCAAAGCATTTCATTTAAATGAGCAAGCTATATTTTGAATGCCATATGCATATAAAATACTGAGATGTGGATATAGTCAGAGTTCAGAGAAATAGAATGTTTATGTTGTACATGGATGCAAGTCAGATAAGAAATCAATATAGAAAAGCACAGTAAATGCAAAAAGAAGTTGCAATAAAAAATTAACAGGGGTATTGTTCCTGTCACCGATTAACAGAGTTTGCAAATGTCTTCATTAGAATTGACTTACAAAGGAAATTGAATGAAACAGGAAACTCATAAACTCTTTCTCCCAAGGATGTGTCCTGGCATATGAATAACAGAAATTACCATGTGGCTTGAAATGGAATGAAATTGACATGCTGACTGGGGAATTCCAGAAGTTAGTGCTCAGTGGAGGTTGGTAGCTTTCATGTGAGTGAGGAGGGGACTCCATTCCAGATTTTTACTAGATTTAAAGGAACTTTCCAAGGTGCTCACCCCATTTAGGTAATGGATTTAGCACCTTGGAAAGCACTGTTAAAATGTAGGTTGAACCATGAATTCACTACCTTACAAACATAACAGCTACCAACTACCACTACTGTAGACCAAAATAGTAAAAAAACAAAACAAAAAAACCACTTTCCTTCAATTGGTGATAGCCAGTAGTAAAAGCAAAAGGCTTTTATTTTGTTTTGATTTTAAAATATTTGTTTTTTTTAAAGACTTCTGTTAGAGATGTCTGCACATATAATTTTCCCTTGCACAGGCCAGAATCCTCCATGATCTCAATACTATTGTAATCTTTTCAACTATGAGGATGTGGCCAGACACTTCTCAGAACTTGCCTGCTTGCTATGAGGCACAAAATGGCCATTTGAGAAGACTTCAGGTTTCAGGGAAGATATATGGTTTGTGTAGCATAGGTCTACTATGTTGAGACAAGCATAGGTCTACTATGTTGAGACAAGGTCCAGCCAGCACCCTTGTGCTGGCTGGACTGCTGACCTGAAGGTTGCCGGTTTAAATCTGTGAGATGCAATGAGCTCCGGCCTGTCAGCTCTAACTTAAGGGGACATGAGAGAAGCCTCCCAGCAGGATGGTAACACATCCGGGTGTCCCCTGGGCAACATCTCTATAGACGGCCAATTCTCTCACACCAGAAGCTACTTGCAGTATGTTCTCAAGTCAGGTCTATGAGGCTACACTGTCTATTCAGAAATAAAATGCACAGCAGTATAATGATATTGATGTGAGAACATTCCTTAAAACAGGCAGTGGCTGTGCCTCTATTATCAAGATAGGTTGTGGTTGTTGTTTTCAACAAGTGAGGTATGGTCCTAAGGTGAATCTGGGACAGAAAAAATAGTGATTTGAGGTTTGGATTAAAGCTCTGGTTGATTATACTTTATCTGAAATGTTTGGGACCAGAAGTGGGATTCAAATTGTGTGATGCCTGTATTTGCACATATGTATATAATAAGACATCTTGGAGATGGGATCAAAGTCTGAATAGGAAATTTATTTATGTTTCATATACACTTTATACACATACCCTGAAGATATAGTTTTAAAATATTTTAAACAATCTTGTGCATGAAATCAAATTTGTGTACATTAAACAATCAAAAAGCAAAGGTGTCAATATCTCAGCCACCCATGTGGATAATTTCAAATTTTGGGATATTTTGAGTTCCAGATAAGAAATCATAAACCTGTATACAGAGTAGTATTTGGAGTTCAGCTAAGATTCTGGAGACTAGGGTTTGAATCCTTACTCAATCATGGAAACCTACTGAGTGACCTTGGGCACCACATTTTTTCAGCCTCAAAGACTGAAAAAGGCAAATCCCTCTGAACAAACCTTGCAAAGAAAACTGTGGCAGTGATTTATGTGATTTCAGCTCTGAAAAAACCATGGTTTCAGAGTCCCAGCATACCTAGCCTCCAAATATCAAATGAGACACAGGTAGATTGCAGGCAAATATCAGACCTTTATTCACTTCGGTCAAAGTGGGTGGGAAAAGAATCTGCATTCTCAAATCAGACATCAAGGCAATGAATACATGCAAAGACATTTATAGAAGTTTGACAACAATTCAAACAACTGGGTTTTGCCATGTCAAGCACTGATTGAAAGTGGTGCAGGTTACAATTCACACACTAATTGGTGGGGGTGCACCATCTGCCATTGCCACTGATTGGCTTCTGGTCTGGCATTGCTCCGGGAATTTTATTTTAATTATATCTTATATTATTTGCCCTCTTTCATAGCACTAATATAACACTATAACTATTGCAAATAGGCTAAAGACAAAAAAATATAAGCCTTTCTCTGTGTAACACATAATTAACCTATACAACTCACTAACTGCTACAGAAGATGATAATCTATTGCTTATATGCTTTTTTTAAAAAAGGATTAGACTGATTCAAAGAAATAAAAGTTTATCAAGGATCATTAATTTAATAAACATGCAATACTCAGATTTCTGGGAAGAAATGGCATCATGCTGCTTTTTTTTTCTTTCTTGGCTTAGGGAGAAATAATAGATGTGGCATTTGCCAGTTGGGACTGTCACCAACCAGCTAGAATGGCCTCCTAGGCATTGGAGACTCGGAGAATAGCAAGCAGGTGTCCAATTCCTGTTTCTGGCAACCAAGGGACATGATTCTTAGGCACAGGGAATGGCTACAGAAATGGTATGAGATTGGATGGATCCTTAATTCAATGGGGCAGAACTTACAAAAGAGTCTGACTCAGTTACTGTGCCTGAAGTCAGATAGAAACAATGTCTACTTTTATCATCTTCCTTGTGTTCAAGTACACTCTTTGTAAAGCCCAAATGATAGATAGCTTCAAAACAGATACCAGTAAGTAGAAAATGAGTGTTAGTATTTTCTTCCAATTGAAACAAGCAGATTTGTAAACAAAACAAAACAAAACAGTCCTTGGAACTAACTAGTTACCAATAAGAGTTACTTGTACCAGTTGTTTTTCTTTTCTTTTTTATACATCTGAGGGATATGTTCCAATTACAATAAGGTAACAAAGGATACATTCTTTTTTGTAGTGTGAAATGTACTGTTTTAGTTGCATTTATAGTTACAGGGATGTAGCTTTGTTACATAGATACATCATGTACTCGGTAGCAGTAGCTTATAGTGCAGCATTGTGTAATGTAAGCTAGAAGCCCATGTTGACACTCATTTCTGAATAACATAAAAGAAAATAGCTTTTGCTAAAAATGCAACTGTGATGGTAACTAAGTACATTTTGTTGCCTTAGAATGGCACATAATTATTCTTTATTAAAAGTAATTTTCCAAACTCTGTAAAAAAAATCATTGTGAGTGAAGATTTTCTTCAGTCCCACACAAATTGTAGCTTTTGTGTAGAGATGGAGAATAATGATCATCCAATGGCAATGCCTCAGTTCACCACAATACTTTAGAGTATTCCCAAATCACTCACAGTCTCCTCATAAGGCTGGTACAAATCCTTCAAGCTCCCCAGCTGCATTTCAACCCCAGCAGCAGCTGGAGTACTTTGGGGGCTGTGAGTCAAGATGGTGGTCTTTCGGCTGCAGAGACTTCCGTTGGAGAACTGCCGCTTGAAATTGGAGTGAAGGCTTCCACAGCATGCAAAAAAGTGGAAGATGTCATGAAACAGATGTCCACTGAAGAACATGTAAATCCAAGGGTTACAGCAACTGCTGAGGCTAGCCAGCAACATGGTGATGGTAAAAGTCACATTGCTGGATTCTGAAACAAAGAGAAGAAGAAAAAAACAGTGTAGGATCCATTTTAATAAAGATGTGTTGCAAGCTCTTGCATGTGGCTACATATGCATTGGCCAATTGCAGTTTGTTGATAGACGATATAGGCTCATGTGTGCTTATGCTCAACATATTATTTTGATGCCTTTCCCCCCTCCCTAACATGAAAAGTTCAGTGCATTTGAATATTTGAAATAGCCGTGGACTACATGGTATCAACAGCATATATTCTTATTCTTTAAACTAATGAACCCACTTTTGAGATCAGAATGAACTCTGCAAGACGCTGAACCTATGTGAGAGATGGGTTTCAGCATCTTGGGTAACTCTTTTAAAGCTTCTCCAAAGTCAGGGCAAAACCCAACACTTTGTGACAATGAACTGCTTTAGGAAGATATATATATATATATATTTTTCCAAGATGGCACCGTGATCATACTCCACATTGCTCGGCTCCTGGGGTGAGGTTTATTTTTTCCCCCGGGGCCCTCTGCACAGCCCCCCTGTGGCCTGAATTGTCGGGGTTCCCCCCCGGGTGCCTCTCGGGGCGACGAGAGACCCCCCACGCATCTGCTGTGGCTACTGCCAATTCATCGCGGCCTGAACACTCGCCATGGCCGATTGCCTGGGGGAGGGGAGAGAAGGCCTGATTCCTTACCGGTGAGGCTTCCATCTGGCCTCTAGGCCCGCGCCGCCGCGCACCCCTCCCGCAATAACAGGGAGGGGGGAGAAGGCCCCTGCCGCCGCGCACCCCTCCTGTATCATCGAGGGAGGGGGGAGAAGGCCCCCCGCCACCGCGTACCCCTCCCGCGACAACAGGGAGGGGGGAGAAGGCCTCCTGCTGCCGCGCACCCCTCCCGTATCATCGAGGGAGGGGGGAGAAGGCCCCCCGCCACCGCGTACCCCTCCCGCGACAACAGGGAGGGGGGAGAAGGCCTCCTGCTGCCGCGCACCCCTCCCGCATCATCGAGGGAGGGGGGAGAAGGCCCCTGCTGCCGCACACCCCTCCCGTGACAACAGGGAAGGAGGAGAAGGCCTCCTGCTGCCGCACACCCCTCCCGCATCATCGAGGGAGGGGGGAGAAGGCCCCCGCCACTGCGCACCCCTCCCACAACAACAGGGAGGGGGGAGAAGGCCTCCCGATGCGGCGCACCCCTCCCGCATCATCAAGGGGAGAGAAGGCCTTGCTGCCTGCCGACGAAGATTCCATTGGGCCCATCAGGCCCACCGCCGTGCCCCTCCCGTCGATCTGGGGAGGGGAGAGGAAGTGAGAGCCCCCATTCATCAGCCTGCTGCTCATCATCTGGCCTGTACGCTCAAGCGGCATTGAGGAAGGAGGGTGAAGATCCGCCTGCAGTGTGGAGTCAACAATCCCTGGCACAGCAACATCTTGTTCTATCTCTTTTCTTATTTTGTTTCCTTTCCTTCTTTTGATTAGCTAGTGTAGTTAATTGTGCAGATAGTATGTTGTGTATGTGTTGGTTGTTGATTGTGGCAGGAGGTGGAGAGAATAAATAGGATTACATATAGGAGATTGATAGCATAGGACAGGGTTAGATAGGAGTCCAGTGTGAAGTGAGCCCAAGAACACATGAGACTGAGTGTTGAAGGCATAGGAAGGTATAGGAAGGTATAGGGAGACTGACTGTTGAAGGCATAGGAAGGTATAGGAAAGCCCATGGATGGTATAGGGTTGTGCAAGTTGATGAGAGAGTGTAGTTAGTCTGAGGTTGTGAGAATCTGTGGAAGAATATGGTGAGCGTGGGTAGTTGTGGAGTGATTGGCGGAATGGTTGGTTGTGATGTGAGTTAGTGTGAGTGAGGGCTGGCAAGTGTTGAGTGGTATTGTAGTGCTGAGTGGTAGTTGTGCGAAGGAACTGTTGTTAGACATAGGAATGGCTGAAACAGAGTCTTGTGGAAAGAACGACCTATCGCTATTGTGCGATTTCTTGGGAGAATCATTTAACCTTTTATCGCTTCAACTTAAGACCTTGAGTGATAAAATGGACCACCTCTTCAGAGGACTCGCCCTTATTATTAGAACTCCGGTGCGTTTCGATCTCCCAAGGGCGGACAATTCTCCATGTGAAGATCAGGCCGAGGACTTGTGCCCAAATGGAGAGAAAGGCTCGTTGGACCTTGGGTTGGAAGGAGGGATGAATGATAAGATGAATGAGGGAGGGGGAGGGCTGTTGGGTATGCATGAGAATGAGAATATCTTGGACTGGCGGAGGACATCTGTTGATATCCAGAGGACAGCTGTTAATTTAATATCAGATCCCATTGTTCAGCCAACTGCAGTTGGTGCCCAGGACCAACATCTCCTGAGGACAGACAATTTTGCAGTGGACATTGCTGACCTAATGATAAATAGAGGCAGATGGACCTCTAGGAGGGCGGTTTGTGACTCTTTGGCCCAAATCCTATCGAAAAGACCTTGGGAAATCAGACTGAAAGCCATAACCTGGTTGCGGAGGGATTACCAGTCACCCGACTGCTCCACTTGTCTTTTAATTACACCAGAAGACAATTTATGGCTTGGTGAGCTATGGGCAATGTGATCCTGCCTAAAGAAATGGGGCATTACCATCAGAAGGGTAGTTGTGGACCCCCATATTCGCCCCCTTGTTGACACAGTCGTACCTTCTTGCCTCGCTCCATCAGGCCCCTGTGATAATTCCACAAAAAGCTCCCCAATTTGTACCAATTTGAAACCCCATCTGCTCCAGTTGTCTCTACACAATTGGCCACGCTTTCCCGCCCAAGAACAATTCCCTTGTTCAGCCCACTCAGCTCCCTTGATGCCTCTCTTTCCAGCTTGACATCGGAAACACCCCTACCTGAAACCCAAGGGAGACTATACCCCAGCCTTACTTCGCCTGGAAGCTGACTAGCCACAGATTCCAACCATGTAGGGGGGGAGGGGGGACCAGAGGAGGGGGGCACCATTCAGGTCGTGTGGGGGAGGAGACTGGCTGGTTACCATCGTCCCAGGGAGAAGCGCAACAGAGTTCTTGCGACCCTGGAGAAGGTAGGAAGTGGTAGGCCCCATGGCAGTTCCCCCGGTCTTAAGGTCCTGCTGATCAATGCCAGATCTGTCAATGGTAAGACCGCTGCCATTCAGGACCTGATCCTGGATGAGGGGGCAGATCTGGCTTGCATTACTGAGACCTGGTTGGATGAGCTGGGGGGAGTAAATCTTACTCAGCTGTGCCCACCGGGTTTCGGAGTGCATCAGCAGGCCAGGCTGGGGGGGGCGGGGAGGAGGGGTCGCAGTAGTCTTTCGGCAATCCATCGCCGTGGTCAGATGCGCTGTTCCGCAAACATCTGGGTTCGAGTGTGTCCACCTGAGGGTGGGGAACCGTGACAGTGTGGGGTTTCTGCTGGTGTACCGCCCACCCCGCGACCCAGCAGTCTCCCTGTCTGAGCTAGCAGAGGTGGTCTCTAATTCGGCCCTGTCTTCCCAACGCCTGGTTGTGCTGGGAGACTTTAACATTCATGCCGAGACCTCTTTGACCGGTGCAGCTCAGGACTTCATGGCCGCCATGACGACCATGGGACTGTCACAAATTATATCTGGACCCACCCATCAGGCTGGCCACACTCTTGACCTAGTTTTTGTAGCGGACAGTGGAATGATCAGAGTGGAAGACCAAAACATCCTTCCAGTGTCATGGTCTGATCATTATCTGGTCAGTTTTAGACTTTCTGCGACCCTTAACCTCCGCAGGGGTGGAGGACAGACTAAGATGGTCCGCCCCAAGAGACTGATGGATCCGGATGGATTCCTGAGGAATCTTGGGGTTCTTCCTGCCATGGAGCCTGGCGATTCGGTCGACGCCTTGGTTGATCTCTACAATAGGGAAATGGCCAGGGCGATAGATACGATCGCTCCCGAACGCCCCATCACGTTGCGTCGTGACAGACCGTCCCCCTGGTTCACTAGGGAGTTGGCTGTGATGAAGCAAACGAGAAGGGGGCTAGAGCGCAAATGGAGGAGTTCTCGGGATGTGTCCGACCAAGCACGGGCTAAAGCCTCGCTTAAGGCATATTCCGTGGCTATACGGGTGGCCAGGGAATCTTTCACGACCACCCGTATAGCGTCTGCAGCAAACAGATCATCGGAGCTGTTTCGGGTTGTCGGGGAACTCCTTCACCCACCTGTGGGGGAGGAGACCTTCGACGACCCAGCAGCTCGGTGTTGCGAGCTCGCACACCATTTTGCAGGTAAAGTTGCTCGGATACGTCTTGAGCTCGACTCCAATTTCATCGCAGTACCAGGTGAGGTGACTGAGGCATCTGCTTGTCCAATTTTGTGGGATTCTTTTAGGCTTGCTCTTCCTGAAACCATAGAGGAGGTCCTTGGGGCTGTGAGGGCGACCACATCGGCTCTAGATCCTTGCCCATCTTGGCTAATTAAATCGGCCAGGGGGGGGGTTGGTTGATTGGTTTGTGTTGATCATTAATGCATCGTTGGAGCAAGGGATTTTTCCATCCAATCTGAAACAGGCTGTGGTTCGGCCACTCCTTAAGAAGGTTTCCCTTGACTCCACGGTGCTGAGCAATTACAGACCGATCTCCAACCTCCCTTTTTTGGGTAAGGTGCTGGAGCGGGTGGTCGCCTCCCAGCTCCAGGGATTCTTGGATGACATCAATTACCTAGATCAGTCACAGTCTGGCTTCAGGCCTGGTCACGGCACCGAGACAGCCTTGGTCGCCTTGGTGGATGACCTCCGTAGAGAGCTGGACAGGGGGAGTGTGACTCTGTTGGTTCTCTTGGACATCTCAGCGGCTTTCGATACCATCGATCATGGTATCCTTCTGGGTCGACTCTCTGGGATGGGTCTCGGGGGCACGGTTTTGTCGTGGCTCCGGTCCTTCCTGGAGGGACGAACCCAGATGGTGAAGCTGGGAGATGCCTGCTCGGACCCCTGGCCCTTGACCTGTGGGGTCCCGCAAGGCTCCATTTTATCTCCCATGCTTTTTAACATCTACATGAAACCGCTGGGAGAGGTCATCCGGAGTTTTGGAGTTGGGTGCCATCTCTATGCAGATGACACACAACTCTACTACTCCTTTCCACCTAATTCCAAGGAGGCCTCTCAGGTGCTGGACGAGTGCCTGGCCGCTGTGTCGATCTGGATGAGGAGGAACAAGCTGAAGATCAATCCCGACAAGACAGAGGTCCTCCTGGTCGATCGCAAACCGGATCGGGGTATAGGGTGGCAACCTGTGTTGGACGGGGTTACACTCCCCTTGAAAGCACAGGTCCGCAGTTTGGGAGTCCTCTTGGATTCATCGCTCACGCTTGAGGCTCAGGCGTCGGCGGTGTCCGGGAGGGCTTTTGCACAATTGAGACTCGTGCGCCAACTGCGACCGTACCTCGCGAAGGCTGATCTGGCCGGGGTGGTCCATGCCTTGGTCACCTCTAGATTGGACTACTGCAATGCGCTCTACGTGGGGCTGCCCTTGAAAACGGCTCGGAAATTCCAACTGGTCCAACGGGCAGCAGCCAGGATGTTAACTGGTGCTCCTTACAGAGAGAGGTCAACCCTCCTGCTCAAGGAGGTCCACTGGCTGCCATTTATTTTCCGAGCCCAATTTAAGGTGCAGGTGCTTACCTACAAAGCCCTAAACGGTTTGGGTCCTGCCTACCTGAGTGACTGCATCTCCATCTATGAACCCACGTTCACTTCGGTCATCTGGTGAGGCCCTGCTCGTGATTCCGCCTGCGTCACAAGCGCGGCTGGTGGGGACACGAGACAGGGCCTTTTCTGTGGTGGCCCCCCGACTCTGGAACACCCTCCCAAAAGATCTTAGACAGGCCCCTACATTGGCAGTCTTTAGAAAGAACTTGAAGACCTGGCTGTTCCGATGTGCCTTTCCAGAATAGGAAATCTCCAATAACAAGTCCTCGAAGCACTTTTAGTAGAACTAAGATTATTGCACACCGCACACTGCACTTGCCCTATAATCCTCGTATACCACCTGCCACATTAGCACTTTTAATCCTGTACCCATTACTCTGGCCCGGCCCAGTTTTTATTGTGTCTTGATATACTGTCTATTGCATGTCGTCAATATTGCTTTAACTGTTTTTAATTTTGCTTTCAGTGTTATTCTGTTTGTGTTGTGTTTTGTGGCCTCGGCCTTTGTAAGCCGCATCGAGTCCTTCGGGAGATGCTAGCGGGGTACAAATAAAGTTAATAATAATAATAATAAAAATGATTTTGAGAGGAGATGTTCAAATTTAAGACCTGAGAGACATTATTTGCTTCTATTTTTCCTATACAGGCAGTCCCCAAATTACAAACAAGATAAGTTCTGTAGTTTTGTTCTTACGTTGAATTTGTTTGTAGGTCAGAACAGGTACATTCTTTTCTCTACCTACCTACCTATCTATATATCTTTGGATAGCATAGGGAAGTGTTAACACCCCTGTGGGTTTGTTTTACTGTCTGTTCCCCTGTTCAGAAGATTTCAACTCGGTTTCTGTCACTGTGATAATTAGATTTTGAAAACTGTGATGATTGGCAATTGTAAGGGATGATTGCCTTTGGTAGGTATACGGACCCCCCACACTTCTCAACATCCATGTGATGAGGTCCTGTCCCTGTGATAAACAGAGTTTGAAAAATTTGGCTTGCTGTGGAAACAAGGATAGGTGAGAAAACTTCAGTGGAGACATCTTTATCCCATGATAACTTTTTCATGAGTAAATTTCCCTTGCTAGGGGTAGATTTTTCTCACTTAATGTTGTCTCACCCTGTTCTTAACTATGAGTCATTTGTAAGTTTGCTGTTTGTAACTCGGGGACTGCCTGTATGCCACACACATCTGGCTTTTTTTTTGCATCTGTGGGTAGAAAGGATCCAAATAGACCCTGAAAAGATGAAGAATTTAATAATCTTTTTGTGGGCAAAACTTGGACTTTTGCACATTTTCCAAATATTTTCCTCATTTTGGGAATTTGAGGGGGGGGGGGATAATGCTTTTTATGCAAAATAGCTATGGGGAGGGTGATTCTAATTTGTCTCCTGCCATAAAAAATGTCAAAAAACCATTTTTGGAGTAAGGAATAATCCCTGAACTCTGAAATATGAAAAATATAAGGAAGGGTATTTCACACCATACCTTGATCTGAGGTATCTTTCTTTAAGGAGAATAAGAAACAAGTATCTCTATAGCTCAAAATGCCATTTTTTTGGTTAACAGGGATTACAAGAACCTGTGTGTTTTTCCAGTGCTTCATCCAAAGAAATCTGAAGAACAGTGTTCCTTAATACAGCTTGGAAAGCCAGAGCAGATGCTTAGAAGATTTTGAGCAGAAAAATAAAGGTAAAAATAATAACTTGTCAATGTCTTCAAGACTGAATACTCATCTTTCTTAAGTTCTACTATGTATGAAGACTCCATTCCTAAATATGTTCACCTGAGAAAAGGATTCTCACTTCAAACAGATATAAACAAAATTCTTTGATTAATGTAGAAAGCATTTTTACAATCTTAGGGACCTCATCACACTAGAGAATGAATCCACTTTAAATCTGATTGCTGCCTCCTGCAGAATTCTGGGATTTGTAGGAGCCTTTAACAGCCTCACTAAACTACAAACCCCAGAATTTTGAGGCAGAAACCGGATTTAAAGTGGATTCATTCTCTAGTGTGATGAAGGACTTAGTGGTAGCTTGAAGGTTGGGGGTTTGGTCCACATGACATCCATGGGTAGCATGGGTGGCATGTTCCTAGAAATATTCTAAGCATTATAACATCCTGAAATCTACTGCTGTTACAAAGGCTGTTTAGATTTCATCATAAAATGTTCAGGCTCAGGATCAAACTCTCTCCAAGGTGCAAACTCTTTATTTTAGCCTCCTTCTAAAGTTTTTGTTTTTGAATTCAAGCATCTATATATAAAGATAGCTGCTCTGAGTTCCCCCTCGGGGGTGAGAAGGGCAGGGTAAAAATGCTGTAAATAAATAAATAAACAAACAAACAAATAAATAAATCCTTCTTTAGATAATCACATTGAGAATAACTTAGTTCAGGGTAATGTAAAGCACTCAAGAAAAAGACACATTAACACTATGAAAGTATATTCAAGTATAATAGTAAACAGTAGCATATTGGTTCACATTTCATTCAATTTATCTAATTGATCAAGTTACAGTAAAAAAAAATTCTAGAGCATTTGATTTATTATTTCAAAACCACAATGTCTGCACTTCTGGATCCTGTCACCAATTTTACATAAGACATTGCAATTTCTAAAGCAAATCATTATTAAGGCATTAAAAAATCCCAATGACCCTCCAGATCTCTCCATATATCAGTGTCTGTTTTACCATAAGGAAAGCTAGATGGGGATGCAGAGCAATGCAATCACTAGCAGAATATTATTGTCGATTTTTGTGACAGCCAGCCTAGGCATTGCTGTTTACTGTGATGATGAAAAAGGTATGAATTAGAAAATCAGACTTTCTCCCTTCTACCATCCCTTCTCTTACCTGATGCCAATCAAAGAAAGAATGTAAGTAAAACAGGCTTGGGGTGCATCTGCTACTTTGTATGTGTGAGATAGGCATCTGTATGTGAGAGGCAGAGGGTCAAAGAACTGTGTGAATACTTGTGTGTTGAATTAAACTGTTTTCCTTCATGATTTTGTTCATGTATGTGGGATTGTCCTTCCTTTTTTTTCCCTGGGTTGCAAGAAGACCATGTACTTGTGGTACAACTGTGGTCCAGATATTTCACTGGGCAAAAAAAAAAACTATCTAGGAAGCAGGATGAATCCCTTGAACAGTTTCTCTGTGTCTCCTACTCACCATCATCTGGTGCATCCTTGTCCCACACCGACCACATCTGCACACTGAAGAAAGGTGCCCAGCAAGCCACATAGGCCATCACGATGACAAAGGTCATCTTCACCGTACGGATTTTGGCACGGGAGATGGTACGAATACTGCTTACTCGAGAACCACCATGGCACTCTGCTCCCTTCTGACCCGTATAGGAAATGGAAGCTGTTGTCATGCAGGAACCACCACTCTTAGTCTTTCCTCGGAGATTTTTGCAGATCTTGTGGCAGATTAGCCCATAGCAAAGGGTGAGGATGGCCACTGGCAGCACAAAGACGCACAAAGTCATCCACGTGACATACGCCTTGGGTCCCCAGGGGTACCTAAATTCAGCCCAGCAGTCCAACACGCCAGAACCCTGGCGCACCTCTCTCACTGAGAAGATGAAGAGCTGTGGCAAACTGAGCAAGCAACTGAGCAACCAAGTGGATCCAATCATCAGGTAAGCCTGGCAGCTGGTCTGCTGAAGGGTGCGCAGTGGGTGGCAGACCGCCATGTAGCGGTCCAGCGTCATGGCAATAAGCATATAGGTGGAGGCAAACATACTCAGCACCTGTAGGTACTTGACAAGCTTGCAAAGAGGGTCAGGCCCCTGGAAGCGATAGGTCACTTCCCAAATCATCTGAGGTAATACCTGGAAGAGGGCTACAACCAGGTCAGTCAGGGCCAGGTGCAGGATAAAAAGGTGCATGCGGCTCATCTTCTTCCTCAGATGGTACATGGTCAGAAGGACCCCCAGATTTCCCACCAAAGTCACTGCCAGGATAGCAGCCAGAACCCCAATCTCAGCCTTGGCAAGTTCTTCATCTCGGGTGTAGAGGGCAGTTTGGTTGGTAGCCTCATTCTGTCGAACAGTGTTATCCAGCAGAGAGCTGTCCATGCAGCTGTTGAAGTAAGTGCTATTCTTCTCCATTGACAAAGATGCAAAAATGTTTGGGGATTATTACCGAGGCAATTCCTACAGTCAGTTGTTAGTGGTAGATGAAAGTCTCCTGCCCTCTCTCAAAATTATTTCAGATCAGATTATCAGCTCCCTTCTGATTGGATCACAAGAAGCTTGAAAGCTTCCCACAGATATTTTAGATGGTTCTCAGTGAACCATTTCATCCCCAAACATTTTGTCCTATTATTTCTTTCTTATCCTGAGAAGAGTCAGAGTCAGCTAACATTAGGATCACTTCAAAATCCCTTCCTCTCCAATACCCCCTCCCAAACCACAGTTTTCTTGAAAAGCTGAAAAAGCTTTTTGCAATCATGCAGCAGTCACAATATATTTTGGTTATTCTCTCTCTATTTTAAGCTGGCTTTCTGAGATAGCGGTAACTACTTCTAAAATGCTATGACCCTCTTCTCCTGTCCTTTCACTTCCTTGCTAGCTCAGCTCTTGCTTCTTCTCCAAACTGATATTGCTATAATGAATTTTTTCAAAACTTATTATATTTACATTAGTAAATCAAAACCAAAACAAAGCCAGGCATCCTATAAGCCATAATAGATTTTACCTAAACAGTAAATTGAACTAAAACATATATCAATTCAATCCCAAATTTAAGCAGAAAAATCTCTTTACTGGTGCCGATGACAGGTGCTAAATCTGAATGCAGCTGATTCCCCTGGCTGTGTGAATGCTATCTATGTTTGAGCCTGGGTTTTATAGACGGAGAGCTGCCCTTTCTGGTTGGTTGGTTCCTGTCGTCTGGCTCCATTGTCATCCCTGTTGCTCAGATGGAGTTTCTAAAACTAAAACACATGCACACACACACACACACGGCTGTGCTTTTCATTTTTGAACAAACTAATATTTGCATAAAAATAAAAAAAACCAGCTTTTCTTCTACTATTCCACATAAAGATCATTGGATCTTTTAAACTCAATATTTCTGCAGCTTTGCTGTAAATCAGTATATCAGGGAGAGGTATAGATTTGGTGCTATACCTTTGTCTGTTTCATTCAAATGAGCTCAATTCAAAAAAGTTCTTTCCCTCAATGCTTTGTCACAGGGATTCAAGTAAGGTGATGGTGACAGAACACAAAATGGCCAAACATTTACTTAAATCAATGTAATATGTTTTCTTTGAAATCTGCCTAATTTCAATGAAATTCTATAGTAGCTGTCTACCCATTTTTTTCAAGGAGGCTGATTAGTAACTGATTATAAGTGTAATTCAAGTCAGAGCTTAGAAATGTGACTTTTGGTATGTAAAACCCTCAGGATGTCTTGGCCAGCATTGTAACTATGGATTGGATGATTCTGACAGTTTTAATCCAAAAAAGTGATGTTTATGTGTACCAATTTTGGATTCTTAGAAATATCAAACAATAAATACAGTGGAATTGAATTTTATAGGTTGGGATATACAAAGAAATAGGTAAGCTTCTGTGACCATTATAAAAGAGCTTATATCTGTTTTGCAGATCCAATGACTTTTGAAAGAATTGCTGTTTGCAAAACATTATTCAGAAATAGTTGTTCTTTCTGACCAAAGCTCTGTAGACTTCACAGGGTATGAATAAAAAAATCAGTACAGCTTTGAATATGAAATGAGAGGTTTTTAGTTGGTCATTGTAAAAGCAGCAGCAAATCATTATTTGCTTTCCTGAGTATTTCCCAAAGAACAAAAACATCATAATAGTGCTACTTTTTCCAACAAGAATAATGTTTACCTCTGTTATATTTTGCCATTGGGATTGTAATAGTGAACGGTCTTTTGTTTCCAAGCAGTGACCCTTATAGTTTAATACAAATTAATATCACTTATTGCTATCAACATGTTTGCTGTTCTTTGGAGGAAAATAGAAGCTGGCCATTTCCTGTATATTATTGCTTTTCTTTTAAGTCAATTTGCAGGTACAACACAAGCTTCTTTTGCTATACTTGAATTGGTTCGCTGCTTTTGTAGGAACTGTCTATTAAGTCATTCCAAACACATGAACAAATTGTATAAGTCAACCAGAAGCCATCTGTCAGGAATACTTTGGTTGTGCTTTTCCTGCATGGCAGGGGGTTGGACTAGATGGCCCATGTGGTCTCTTCCAACTCTATGATTCTGTGGTTCTATAAGCTGGCATCAATTATGTTGAAAATATTGGGCTGTGCCAAATTGTAGAAATGTCTCTAAGCATCGACTTTATATGGGGGGAAGAAGCATTGCAAGGAATAATATTCATCTTTAATGTTTACCATCAGACTGTCTAATATCCTGGCAGATCACTAAAATGTGTCATAAAATAAAAGCAGAAATGAAATCCAGTTGAATGAAGAACTGTAAGGGATGAGCATTAAAAAAATCAGTTTCCTGGTCCTTCCTGAGCATGTAGATGATGTATTCTTTTTTATACAATAGCAAGAGCTCATGCTGCGTAAAAACATTTTGATAAGGAAAGATGTGTGGGAGGATTTCTTCCTGTATGAGTCTACTGCAGTTTTTCAGCTTTCAGTACATTTCTTCCCTACTGGCTATTTCTACAACTAAGTACAGATAATTTGAGAATACAGTAGCATCTCACTTATCCAACCTTCACTCATCCAACAGTCTGAATTATCCAATGCAGTCTGCATCCTGCCCAGATCCACAGCTGTTTCAATACACTGCAATGTTTTGGTGCTAAATTCTTAAATACAGTAATTACTACATAACGTTACTGTATTTTGAACTGCTTTTTCTGCTTATTTGTTGTAAAACACAATGTTTTAGTGCTTAATTTGTAAAATCATAACATTATTTTATGTTTAATAGGTTTTTCCTTCATCCATCCTTATTATCCAACATTTTTGCTTATCCAACGTTCTGCCAGCCTGTTTATGTTGGAAAAGCAAGCCTCTACTGTATTGTGGTACCCTTACAAGTCTACAGAGCAATGAGGAATGATAGGACAGTTTTCTATGGATGAGAAAGAGCTGAAGAGTTATAGTGTCTAGATCCAGGCAAGTTGTGCTACCCCTCTATTCTGCCTTGGTCAGACCACACCTGGAAAATGCTGTGTCCAATTCTGGTCACCACAATTTAAGGGAGATGTTGACAAGCAGGAATGTGTCCACAGGAAGGCGACTAAAATGATCAAGAGTCTGGAGAAACAAGCCCTATGAAGAGCAGCTTGGAGAGCTGGGCATGTTTAGCCTGTAGAAGAGAAGGCTGAGAGGAGGCCACGTATAACTATGTGAGGGGAAGTCATAGGGAGGTGGAAGCAGGCTTGTTTTCTGATGTCCTGGAGACTAGGACACAGAACAATGGCTTCAAACTACAGGAAAGGAGATTCCATCTGAAATTCCTGATTGCTAGAGCTATTGAGCAGCGGAACTCTCTGCCCCAGACTGTGGTGGAGGTTCCTTCTTTGGAGGCTTTTAAACAGAGGCTGGATGGGGGTATTTTGATTGCGATTTTCCTGCTTCTTGGCAGGGGACTGGATGGCCCACGAAATCTCTTCCAACTCTATGATTCTAAGATTTAATGTCTGAAATATTCCCATTGATTATAAGGATAGAAGCAAAATACAAAAGGATGCAAATACCACACAGTCCCAATACGCAGCAGATTGTTATCCAACAAAATCTGGGAAATGTTTTTGCATGAACTACAAATTCAACAACCCCTGGCCAACAAGGCTAGTTGACAAGTTCATTAGAATGATAGGGTTTTTTTACACAGAAAAGAACATTTTTGTAAGCTCTGATCCAATATCTAAACAAATAATGAATTTATCTGTAGATTAATTTGTAGTTCTCCTTTAACCACTTGACAACATTCAGTTCATTTTCTCTTTCAAACTATAAGCTGATATTTCATCTTTGTCCAAAACCTTGAATCCCTCCCTCCTTGAGGAAACATTAAAAACCATTAAAGCAAACATAACACCTTTTTTGGGTTGGAGGGGGGGGGTCAAATATTCAAGTTTCATCAGGAGCTCCTTTGGAAAAAATTTGGTGACCCATCATTTCATAGTAATCAAGATGGCAAGCCAACAACTAGGTACAATGCAACTGTGTGGATTTTGTACTTATTAGGTTCTGTTCAAATAACTCACTACAATGTTTTCCAACCTTTTCATTTCCCCCAAACTTTGATGAGAGGAACTCATCCAGAATGGTTTTATACCAGGGCAACTAAGGAAAGGTTGTAACTATCAATTTGGTACTGCATAATGAACATAACATTTTGACTGGGACATTATAAATGGACGAACACTCCTGTCCTGAGGAAATATTCACATTATGCAAATTACGTATTCTCTTATTTTTCCCTCAACAGATATATTCCAGATAATCATCTTTTTATGTTAAATTCCTGCATATCATATTGAGATACCTCACCATCATGATAACCACCATCACACAGTTCTGGACATGTGTAATAGATTTACCTCACAAAAATGGAGCAGGATGGAAGAGATGTAAATTATGTTAAACAATTCTGACACAAACATCCCCAGCCAGCTGTCAATACTAAATGCTACTGGTAAATAACTTATCTTCAAGTAGGACTCCTTGATGAGAAGAAGAATGGGCACCAAAATTCCCCATTAAAAGGTCCTAGTGCTCACTTCTATTGTTACCCCAGTGGGAAAGCTTATCCATATATTCTTTAACAAAGGTTTTTCTAATCTTGAGCTGCCTGTCAAGGTATATTGCAAACAACTGACCTGCAGATTGTGCCTCCCTTTCCCACCTAAAGTAGAAGTATAAAGATGAGCTAGATACCTTAGTTTTCTAACAGAGCAATGGTTTAAGCACTTTCACACTACCCAGTTATAATGCTATTAACTGCTATGGTTGCATTCTTCTGAGGTTGGTAGTTTGACTGGGCATTTATGCTCTATAGCTGAAAATTGGAAATAGCCATTCCAAAACTTCAAAGTTTGCACATCATTATGCAGATAAAGTCGCTCAACTGCGTTCCAACTTAGATGCCAGTTTT